TCCTCTCCTCTCCTCTCCTCTCCCTCCCACTTTCTCGCTCTCTCTCACATTTCTGATCACAACATGGAACAAGTTCCCGTGAAGTTGACCAAGAGCAATGGGCTCGTCGCAATACTCGATGTTGCTCATATTCAGTCCATGCTCAAGACGACCGGCCGATCTCTCGACCTCCTCCTTCTTCACTCCCTCCAGCGTCACCTGCCCCCACACCTTCAGTATCATATACCTCGCCTCCCAAACTGAATGCCATCAGCCCCCCCAGAGCCCGCAAGGAGCGCAGGCCAGCAGTGTCTCACCTCCTGGAACGTAAGGGCGTTCTTGTCCTTGACCCCAGCGTACGAGAGCTGTGAGGGCGACACTCTGACCCCGCATGCTCTCATGCTCGAACAGATAGCGATCACCGCGCTCATCGTGTCCCACCCCATCTTCTTCAGCACAAACCGCACGTGCGATTCCCGTCGTGCTTGCGGGTGCTGCCCCCGCACCGTCACCGGGCTTCCATCAAGCATGCGACACTCGATCACTATGAAGTCTCCTGAAAGCGAGAGAAAGCAAAGTCAAGCAGCGGCTAAGGTCTGCTGGTCTGAGCTGGTCTGAGCTGGTCTGAGCTGCCCTGCCCTGATCTGCTTTTCTGCACTTTGCTCTCTGCATGCATCTCCTTCCCCCTCCCCTCACTCCATCACTTCGCTCACCCCATCGGATGGAGTTGGTCAGGCTTCCTGCGGCTTCGACGTTATGCTGCTGACAAGAAGTGCCTAGCAGACAAATCACCTTGAAGCCTCCGCTTCCTCCTCTTCAGCACAGCTCGGATCCAGACCTCCCTCTCTGTGTAGTGTGAAGTGCCGATCTCGACCTTCTCTGCTCCTCTTCTCATCCCTGGCTTCCTGCTTCCTGACCCTGAGCTGCCCGCCACGCTTGCTGGCCGCTGTTTTGCAGCAGGGAAAGGCGCTTTAGGGTGAGCCATCGGAGGACGAAGAGGGGGGAGGACCTTGTCGTCTCCCGGTACTTCCTCCAGAAGGAGGAGGAAGAGGAGGAGGAGGAGGAGGAGGCAGACCGTCCGTGAGATTGCAAGTGACTCGCAGGAGACACAAAGATACTGAACCATGCTTGCAAACAGCTGGACGGATGCTGGCTGGACCAGTTTCTGTGACTGTCAACCAGGCCAGCAGTACTATCTGGCATGTATGTTTGACACCATCTGGATCCAAAGGTCAAAAAAAAGTTTTTCATCACTCTCGAGATCGCATCTTGTTTGAAACTCCTCCTACTTGCCTCCTCTGATCCGGATGGTCTCCCCGCATTTACCTTGTCATGCGGCCGAATGGGGAGAAACACGCGAGTAGGTCAAGCTGGTTGCTTGCCATATCATTCTCGACTTGAACTTGCATCTTTACCTTCCCTAGGCTATGACTGGAGATGGCAGGATACGATCACCTGCGATCTCCCTCTGCTATCTTTCTATGTTGTCTCTCTCTACTATCTTTCTATGTTGTCTTCCTCTGCTATCTTTCAACTCCGTTCATTCTCATCGTCGCACACTTCGGTCGCATCCAGTGTTTTCCTTGAAATGGTGAATCAAGCTCGCCTCCGATTAACAGAGCCTGCGCCGCCCGGGCTCGTACTGATTTTAACTTAACTTTGAGTAAAAATTGGCAGGTCCGGGCCGTGTTCCGATAAGTTCAGAACTTGGAGTGGCAGCGGCCCGCCGGGCTCAGCGGCCGCCAGCTGATCCGGCCGGGCCCGGAGGCTGAGGGGCAGAACATCCGACTTGGGTGGCAAGTCCTCTACAGGGATCGAGTGGCTGTACAAACGAGAGGCTTACAGGGGTGGGGTGGTAGAGATATCTTCAGTCCACATCCCGGGGGGGCGGGGGCCGGTCGTGTGGCCATGAGGGGTCGCAATGTACCAAGTTTTGATGCGACCCTTTATCTGTCCCAGACGACAAGTCCTCAGTTAATGGGGTCACTTGGGGCACATTGTGAATATCTGCTTGGCTCCAGAAGAATCTGGAATTTTTGGATGACAATCTCAAGATTATCTTATTGCTCCTTATACATGCCCGGGGTTGGACGCCCCGCAGGAACCCCAGTGAGATGGCAGAGCGTAACGTGATGATTTTACTTGCGACCTTCCATAGACTTCGAAAGATGGGTGTGTTGTCAGCGTGCAGTCAGCTTCGCAAGCGATTTGTACCATTAACGAAACGTTCTGATTTTCTCCGTGCGAAATATATTAGTTTCGAACGACCCATCTATTGAACAGGAATCTTTTCGAGCATATGAAGTTTCGGCCATGACCATTCAGCTTTTTCCCACCCCCTCTGGTTAAATTGTGGTCAACGGCCCTCACCACCCTTCACCTTTAGTGAGGTCTCCGAATCACAGCATCTATACATCCTAAGCTGACATATTTCTTATGTCTCACTCTAATGGATTTTATCTTCCCCTAGCCCTTTGTCATATATGAGTCCACTACCTTCCGCATGCAAACTGACCACCCTGCCTTGAGCCCAAACAACAATTTTAAAACCACGACTACCCACCCTCTAACCCACTTAACCCCCATTGCACCTCGGCTGGACATCGACTCTCCGAAACATGCGGGAGTGCGCACATAAGAAAAAAATATGGAAAATGGGAGCGAAGGATCAGAGAACGGGGGAGAGAAGGAGTCATAGGTGGAGGAAGAGGTCAGGCAGTAGCCCGAGCCAGCATATTCAGAGAGTTCATGAATCGCGTTGTGATGTAACATACTCCAGAAATACCTTAAGGAACGCGCCATGCATGATCATGCATTGACGCACCATCTATCGATGGCCGCGATAACACGAGTACAGTGTGCATGGTCATGATCTCGAATAGACATATGGATGCTGCGGGTGATAGACAGAAGATTCCTTGAAGAAATCATAGCCATACCTGTGATGTATACTGGCGTTAACAGTACACATCGAACGCCAGTATATGTCGCAGGTATGGCTATGAAAGTATACATCGCAGGTGTGGCTATATGAACAGTTCAGTTTTCTGTTTAGCTCCTTCACTTTGCTCCAATCTAGACTGTCTGCTGCACGCCTCTCACGCCTGTTCCAGCATGACCAGGAAAGAAAGAAAGCCCCTGCGAAAACGAGCACAAAGGAGCCGAACGAGGCTCCTGCATGTGACACTGGACGAGCTGGTGCCGGTGTACTCGGAGCCAGACGGTGGGAAACTTCGGTCAGGGAGGACCGTGACCCAGTTGCTGCATGACCTTGTAAGCTACACGAAGTCGCTCATGTCTCCTGTAAAGCACGTGAAGAAGGTATGGAGTTGTGTCTCGTTGAGTTGGGGAGCTGCTGACATCGTTGCCAGGAGCCGCGGACGACGAGAGAACCGGAGGCAGCACTGAGAAATGAGACCATCCGGCGAGGGATGTTGTCGTGCAGGACAGAAAGCATGCTGGTCTTCGACAGGAGCACTCTGCGGGTGGAAGATGCGAACGACGGCATGCTCCGCTTTCTAGGAAAGCTGCCTTTCAAGGGACCACAGGGCTACAGCCTCCTGCACCTCATCCACCCTATGGAGCAGGGGAGGATCACTGCCCTCCTCCGCATGCTGGATCATCAAGATGGAAGGTTCTGGATGGAGACAGAAATCCTGCGGTTCTCGGGGAACGGAGGGTTCTGTGGCAGCAGATGCTCGCTCTTCTGCTCAGCAGCAGATAGCAAGAGAGGCTTCATCTTCATAGAACCATGCACTTCTCTGTGCTTGCCCAGGTCTCCACCGCTGGGGGGAGGGAGCAGGCGAGGCGGTGACTTTGAGAGGTGTTTTCAGTTCGAGGAGATTTGCTCCTCGAGCTGCCCGCTAGAGATCTGCAGTCTGTTATCCTCTTCCTTAGGATCGACGTGTGTGGGATGGTACGGGACCATCGCCCATTTCCTCAGTCTCCACCAGAAATCAGATCTTGTCGATCAACTACTGCATGAGATGAAGATCATTCGACGATCCGGCGTCGTCCTTCGCATGATCCAGTTGTGGTGCCGGGTGACACACAGATCGAGCTCCGAGATTTCCTTGCAGATTTACTTCCGTCTGAAACTTCCCGTCCTCTTTGGCTCGCATGCAACAGACTGGCAGCTGGCTCTGGACATAAACTTCTCCAACAACTTCGCCATGGTAGCCGATGGGTCCTCAGGGTCCTTCACGGCATGGGAACTTGACTTTGACTGCTGCGATGATGAATTTCGAATCCTCGAGCTCAAGCTCAAGGAGAACGGCAATCGTCTCGAGTGCTGCCACAGCAGGTGCCCTTTCCCTTCGTGTACCTTCCTCCTTTCATTCTCTATCAGCAACTTTATCTCGTGAGATGTTGTGAGTATTTCCTAAACATTCGCGAGCAGGTTCCTGTATCTTTCACCCGACGAGTTCCACTACTCAGGATATATCCCCTCTTCTCAGGTCAGGCCTCTCTAAGTCGGCTATAACTTCTCACCCGATACCTCAGACGTTGGAGCCCAAAGATATGAAATTCCACCAGGTGTTCAGCAAGGTCTCCCAAGTACCTGAATGATCTGCGTGTGCTCGAGCTTCATTGCCATCCTCTCTTTTATTCTTTTGCACTGTGTTGATGTCTCAATACCTCACTGTAAAATAGATAAATCTGTCGATTGCTAAACAAACGTTTCCTCCACTTCAGAAGCACTTCCGATGTACCACGGCTTTCCCGCTGTCCTTGTACTCATCTATGCTGATCCACATTTGTTGGAACCTGGTCAGAGTCAGACAGGAGCCTACTTTGCTGCTAAACTCTCACGTGGTCAAGGAAGCGAGGATCGCTGCGCCAACAAACACGGAGTACTGACGCTCCTCTGGAGCGACAGTCTTGACCTGTTAAGAGATAGGCGGATGAGCCTCAGCCTGCCAGGACATTGTTTGGCTCAAACCTTCATTGTAGGAGGAGCCATGTTGGTGATCTCCTTCTGCATCCTTTCAGGCAAGCCTTTGTACATGGTTGTGCCGCCTACGGTCTCACATCAGAGTCACAGTGGCAGAGAAGCAAGCTAAACCTGAGATAACGATGTTGGAGTACAAGTCCTTCCTGATGTCGACATCGCACTTCATGA